AGTTAAGTTCAGTGTAAGCAGAAATTCTATTAAACTGATTTCGTCACACTGTAAAACACCCATTTTTAATCAAGTTAAGTTCAGTGTAAGCAGAAATTCTATTAAACTGATTTCGTCACACTGTAAAACACCCATTTTTAATCAAGTTAAGTTCAGTGTAAGCAGAAATTCTATTAAACTGATTTAGTCACATTGTAAAACACCCATTTTTAATCAAATAAGTTCAGTGTAAGCAGAAATTCTATTAAACTGATTTATTCACACTGTAAAACACCCATTTTTAATCAAATAAGTTCAGTGTAAGCAGAAATTCTATTAAACTGATTTAGTCACACTGTAAAACACCCATTTTTAATCAAATAAGTTCAGTGTAAGCAGAAATTCTATTAAACTGATTTCGTCACACTGTAAAACTTTGAAAGAGTAATTGCTAGAACTTTTTTACTCGTGATACTTACTTTGATATTTGAAGGATCAAAGAGAGCTTCTGGAATCTGGAACCTCTCTGAAGAAAAATCTAAGTTGTATCCATGGGGAAGCTCATAATGGACAGTGGGCATGTTCTCTACAGTTCTGGAACAAGAAACAGAACAACACTTAAGATATAATCCTTACCGGTTAAATATATACAAATAATGTTCAACCATATATTGTATTGATAGTATTACCTTATGTCTCTTCTAAGACAGCTCTAGCTAGAATCTCTTTACTGAGGATATGCTGAAGACAATGGAATAATCATAAAACAATGTGCTGCCACCTAACGGAAATATTGATTTTTACAGCTATTTTATGCCAACAAAGAGATCACAAATTCAAATTCTGTAACTTACAAGGGTTTTAACTGTGTTTCACCAAACAGCAATCTATAAGTCAGATTCTGGGTTTGGCATCTAAAATATTACAATAATTTACACCATTTTATAAACATGTAACAGCTCTTTGAAAACACAGTTACAGCATTCAATGTCCTGTGTCACTAAACATTTGTTTCTGGCATGCTGGAGTTTGCTCTGGAACATCTATTTAAATTAAAAGTGTTTACCAAATCTTGTTGTTCGAGTCTGATTTTACACAAATAATTAAGTAAATAAATTCTGTGAAACTAACATTTAAATCATGCATCGCGTTGTTTTAATACATCAACAAGAAAACCCCTTTTTCTCACTAGAATACTTGACTTACTTGAACTTGCCATGTGATTCTTTATCAGAAACAACATGTGAGTTACAACATGGGTATCACCCAACCTTTCCTACCCACAATAGCAATATCTAATGAAATTACATGAAACATCGTGGCAACTTCTTAATAATATCAAGTTTTTGCTTTAAAAAAAAACAACTATATACTTTCATTTAAATAATTTCTAATATTTTACAGACTGTGAAATTTCTAAAATTTTGTGAAACTGTTTCAAAACAACACTAACAATACTTTTTTCTTCTTATAATTTAAATTTTTTTTTGTATTGATGACCAGAAAGTTTGATTTTATACAATCAGTCAGTCTCAACCTGTTTGATTATTTTTTAAGATATTGTTTCGATGCTTTATTTTCTAGACTGAATTAGTCATCAATTCTGTCTATAGATAATAATAGCAAACACCGACAAAGATTAATTGGTAACCTAGGACCTCACTTATCAAAATGACATCATCATTATTATATTTTTCAAGTGAAGCAACATGATTTTTGCTCATAATATTATTGGTAAAAATAAATAACTGTGTGTAATATATATAGAATGTTTTCATTAAATAATAAGTCCAGTTATTTGTGTGTATCAATAATATGCCATCACAACGCACACTAAGCTTACTTGATTTGTTATCAGAGAATTTCTATAATAGCTTTCAAACAGATATAACTTTTAAAACATCAATAATTTGAAGAACATAAAAAGTTTAAAGAAACTATACAAAAAATTACATTTTTGTGGTCTGTTGTAAATTTTCATAAAAATCCTTTGTTCATACACTACAGGAGCTTATAATAGATCATTAAACAAATTACTGCACTGACCACTTTATGTGCTCTAAGTAATGAGGATCTATTCTGTCCAACTAGTTTTAGCTGTTGGCTCCAGCTATTTTCAATGTTGAAATTCATTAGTAACTGTTCAGGATAAATGATATGATCTTATAAAAGTGGCAGCAAAGAGCTGTAATAATAAAATGGACCTAAATCATTTTATTTTCAAGGGATGATGGACCTAAATCATTTTATTTTCAAGGGATGATGGACCTAAATCATTTTATTTTCATGGGATGATGGACCTAAATCATTTTATTTTCATGGGATGATGGACCTAAATCATTTTATTTTCACGGGATGACAGACCTAAATCCTTTTATTTTCACGGGATGATGAACCTAAATCATCTTATTTTCACGGGATGATGGACCTAAATGATTTTATTTTCAAGGGATGATGGACCTAAATCATTTCATTTTCACAGGATGATGGACCTAAATCATTTTATTTTCAAGGGATGATGGACCTAAATCATCTTATTTTCACGGGATGACGGACCTAAATCATCTTATTTTCAAGGGATAACAAACATAAATCATTTTATTTTCATGGGATGACGGACCTAAATCATTTTACTTTCACGGGATGATGGACCTAAATCATTTTATTTTCAAGGGATAACAAACATAAATCATTTTATTTTCATGGGATGACGGACCTAAATCATTTTATTTTCACGAGATAACGGACCTCAATCATTTTATTTTCACAAGATAACGGACCTAAATCATTGTATTTTCACGTGATAACAGTCGAGATTCCTTGGAGCTAAGCAGAAATGAAAATTGAAAAAACATCATCCCCTGGTCTGGAATTTTAAATCAGACACAAAATACTTTTGACAGATTATAGGGAAGATTATATAGTTTAAACTTACCCCCTTGGGATACTTACAATAAACATGGATAATGAAATTATTTAAATTAAATGTACAATGATAATTATTTTATTATGTATATTACCCTGACACTCAGTTTACAATAAACATGGATAATGAAATTACTTAAATTAAATGTACAATGATAATTATTTTATTATGTATATTACCCTGACACTCAGTTCAAAAGAAAAATTTTGAATTTATTTTCTTGTACCTTTATTTCTAAGAATTTTATACATTTGATGTTTAAATTTTATACAAAAACACCAATAAATAACATTCTTATTATAAATTAAGTTGTCCATTGTACAACTGTTAAATATTATCTTTTGTCTGTCGATTCAGATCATATCTAAAGCAGGAGAAATATTATATCTTTTCTACACTTAGGTTATAACTTACTCTTTATCATATGGTGAGTCGGAAATCTGAAGCACAGAACTCTGAAAGTCCTGGATTATTCCCTGCAACAGGAAAAAATACCTTTTAATAGGATTTAGACTTCATTAACAGGGTATTAGGGTTTATTATTTTCTATTTGCTTAAAACTATTATGCTAATACCTTTAGAGTCATATCATTGTGAAGTAAGTATCCTTAGTCATCTCACTGTGAAGTAAGTATCCTTAGTCATCTCACTGTGAAAAAAGTATACTTAGAGTCATATCATTGTGATGTAGGTACCTAGAGTGATATCACTGTGATGTAGGTACCTAGGGTCATATCACTGTGATGCAGGTACCTAGAGTCATATCACTGTGATGCAGGTATCTATAGTTATATCATTGTGATGCAGGTCCCTAGAGTGCTATCATTGTGATGTAGGTACCTAGAGTGATATCACTGTGATGTAGGTACCTAGGGTCATATCACTGTGATGCAGGTACCTAGAGTCATAT